AGAAAGTGAAAAGTGGCTAACCTTAATTCTCATATAAAATATGCCAATAAAGTGCATATTTATAATGCCCTAATAGGATTTGGAAAATTGCACATATTTTCTTGGACTTTATTGTAGTAGACCAATTAAGTCACACACCTTTTATTGGAGCTAAGAGAGGGATTTAACCGAACTCACATGACCCAAGCTCCAATAGTTGTTTCCAATTGGGTCAACTCTTGACCAATTGAGATACATCTATTAATCCCGATTTATTCTACCAAAAAATCGAGATTGCACTCTCGAGTTGAGTGATAGTTATAGAAACAAATTATGATCCAATAACAATATTTTCTAATTATCATTCCATAAGTCAATCCCCATTTGATCTTCAATATGTTGAAACTAGCAAAATGATTATTTTTTCCCTTCAACATGTATTACCCTCTAAGTACCATTTTCATACGGCAAATTCATTGTGATCAAATCACAATGTAAAGTCCAATGATATCATTGTCGACTTACTGAGCTCAGGTTCAATTGCCTAGAAAAATACCCTAGAGTGACGATTGTCTTATCTCATCAATGGATTCCACTATTATAAGTATATGATCTGTAATTGTTTCAGCCCGATTCCCAAAGCACCGAGATCAATATTCTATTTAAGACTTCACTCATTGGTGTCTTAAAGAACTTGAACTAGCAATCAAAGGTACATTACTCACTCAGGATTTAGATCACGTGTTTGATAATCAAGTAGAGTCTCACTTCGAATGGTCACAAATGAGTCATTTACGCGGTCCCGTTCAATGTGCATCGAAACACATTATTATTCCTATTTTAAGATCTAGACAAATCTTAATAAGAATAATACAATCTTATCAACATAAAGTATCCAATTTTATGTACCGATTGTGAACGACATAATTTTGATCATATTACGAATTGTCTTACTATACCCGATCCATAGAGTATACAATTTGTGACATCCTATATGATCATGAAACCTTATATAATCATTTCAAATTGGAACACGCAAATAGACGAACGTCAATTCATAATGTGATTTTATAGAACACTACTCGAAAAATGGGCATCAAGCTAACAGTTACATGTCGTCATTGTGCCTGATCTTGATGATGAAAATGTGAGCCAATTTTGACCTTCGAAATTGGGCCAATTCATGCACTACCGCACATCATTTACCCACAACCGATGTCCATCGTCTTCCATCCTTACCACGGGGCAATTTCCATCCAAGATATCGAGAAATCCAACACATGTCATCGTACCATTCTGTCAATCTTGCACATGCTGTCTAGAATTAATCTTGCATTTGCCATTAGTAACTCAGTTCATACAATGCTACCATCAATTAAATTTCACACTGCATGACTTCTGTCATTGTCGGATGCGTGCATGTCTTGCACATCTGCACACTCTCGACGCACCACTTGTCCAAATGCGCCAATCACACTGCTTATGTGCCATACCAACATTTCGCCTTGCTAAGTGCTCCCATCAGATGCACATCCGTGATAAGGCATCGACATGAGGCAAACTAGCTATGCTAAAGCCATCACAACCAATAAGCATCTAACACCATGCCTTTACGCCCATATAATTTTTTCCTTTTTCTTAAAAATTACATGGTTTAGTTGTAGTCAGATTACGCCTAGGTTGCTTTTTTTGTCTCACAATTTCGACATCTCTACCCAACAATGATTTCATGACGATCATTGATCAGCATAAAAAAATGGTGTAAGTGTACTAAAACAAATGTTTATCATATTGAGATTATATCATTCTTGTCTTAATAGTATGGATATCAAGATTGACGATAATCAATAAGAAATCATCGTTTTCAATATCTTCAGGTTTATTATGCTTCCCTAATTTCGTACACCAAATTGTATTAAAAAAAGACATAATGCATTCTTTTCTTTTTTATTGTTTCTACCTTCTTTTTATCTTGATTCTTATAAATTAGCTGACTATATTATTGACTACACAGCAGTCCAATTGAGTCAATTCAAACTTAAAAAAAAAAAAAAAAAAAAAAAAAAAAAGAGTAGCTTAATTAATTCAGAACGTGTCTGCTACTTAACAAAGTAATTAAATTTTTTGTTTGTTAGGATCAGATTAACAGCTTTTTCAAATAAAATAAAATAAAATAAAAAAATGAGGGATCAGATTAAAAGCTAGCTTAGCCAGCTAACTCCAACTTTAATTCCTTAATATATTGTAAATGTATCACAATGTACTTTATACAAATTTTGTTGCCAAAGCTATCCCACTTGCCATTATTAATTATGTTATAAGCTTCTCATAATCTTGTTGTATTTTGGTTCTTTATATTCAATTCTCAACTAACATTTTTCAAATATTCTCTAACTGTGTTGAAATCATCTTATTTAAAAGTTAAATGGTTAAACTACGATGAATTATTATTATTTTTTTAATTTTATTTACATTTTATCTGCATACCAGATTTATTTTTATGTGAGATACCTAATATGTGATACTTTCATAAATAGGGTTATGTGATACTTTCGTAAATAGGGTTGTGATGAGACTTGATATTGGTAGATAACAAATGCGATTAACAGAAAACTCTGCTTTCCCTCACCCCCATTATGTCCGACTGTGGAAGGGAGAGATGTATAATTGAGAATGTAAGTACGAAGTGCTAATTTTCTCAATTTATTAGCTCAGCAAGAAGAACTTTTTTTAATTATAAATTTTTAAATGCGTCAACGGTATATGCTTTATGTGTCTCCTTATCTACTTCTACTTGATGTGAAATTTCCGTGATTTGTATATTCTATTTCTTCTTCCAGTACCAAATTGAATTACTACTTTTAAATAGGGATTTCAATGAGATGGTGCCATACCCGTCCCTCACTCCTTCAGGCATTTTGGGGATCCAAGACGCTGGCAAGGTGAGGACTAGAATATGATCATTTATCATCACGTTTATTTATTTATTTTTTCAAAATCTATTATAAATTTTTGAAATAAAAAATAATAAAATATAAGAGCTGGGACCATATCCGTTGTCTCCTCATTCCCGGAGGAGGGACGTGCCATTTTTTCATTCATACTTTTAAGGTCTTTTAAGTTGTTGAAATCGTCTCATGTTGCTAAAAAATATGATTTATGCGCCATTAGTTCTAAATACATTTAACAATTTTTAATGAGGAAATTAGGCCCTAGCCTCCTAAGTGTTTTGATTAATACTCTTAAATTAATTAAACATTTTAAGAAAGTACTAATTACATACTAAATTCAAACCAAAATCCAACAAGGTTAACTGCAACAAACTCAAACCTAACTCCTCATACAGGGATGGAGTGAGGGATTTTGTTCAGTGAGGGTACAATTTTAGATATCGGCTACAGTGATTTTTTGGTCAAAATTAGTTTATAAATAAAAAAGAGTTGGGGCGACTGTTGATCGTTAATCATTGATGACCACAATAGCAAGATCATTTATTGACATTCTGACTTTTACCGACACACGGAGTTATAGTTTACCACTTGAAAAGCACAATTAAAAAGGTATACTAAGCAAATTTAGCAGTCAATGGAGGAATAAAAATAAAATTTCAAATATGTAGCAAATTTAGCTATACGTCTCTATTTTTTATTGTCATAAAATGAAAAACCTGCATAAAGTTGATGAAAAACAAGCTAATATAGTATTATATCAATAGAAGACATATAAGAAAACTGAAACATTCTTAAAATGTTTAGAGATTGTTCTCTTCGTGTTTCAGTTTTGTTGGTTTGAGTTTTGAATTCATTTTGAGTTTTGTGGTTTGAGTACCTATTTTGGAATTGCTGAAAATAAATTCTCTTTGCCATTCTGGAAAATCATTCTTTAAAATATAAAATTGGAAAACGGGTCTACTTTGAAATTTTGAGAATATTTTTTTATAATATTTTATTTAAGACATATGGTTATTCAATAAATTTTAATAGTTTAATGTTAATATAGTATTAAATAACATATAAATTTTGAAGTTGGTGAATCTTGAAATATTTTTTGACAGATATAAAAAACACAACCTAAATTAAATTTGTCAAAACAGTTCAACAGATACTATTAGAAATTTACATGTCATGGTAAATCAAGCAGACACTGGAAAAAATTTAAAGTACATCCACAGAATCATGTACGACGTCTTGAGTAGTCATTTCATATTTGTGTAGCAATTTGATCCTTGACTTATCTCATTTGAGCGGTTCGACTAGCATCAAAATGTATGACTTCTTGATCTTGATTTGACTCCGGTATATCTTGAAACATCATATTCTCCTCAAAATATTCAATGAACAACTCATCTAAAGCGTGCTCTTGATGAATAAAGTTGTTTATTGCGCAACATATGGTAAGGATTTGCCTTTGCCTACTAAGTGGATAATTGGGAATCAACTTCAGAATAGGAAATCTTGCCTTTAAAATTCTAATGCAACGTTCAATAATGTTATGGCATGAGGAGTGTCTATAGTTGAACAATTTTTCCTTCCCACGTAGTCTTCCCCGTCCAACATAGTTATGCAGATGATATTTTTGACCTCGATAAGTGGCAAGAAATCCAGACAAATTTGGATATCCGTAATCAACAAGGTAAAATTGATCTGCAAAATAAAAAAAGGCTTACATAATGTGACACTGTAAATATATTCTCAATAATTATTTAAAGTATAACAATATACTTCTTGTTTTTGCATATGAAAAATACGATGGCATATGTCCGGATGTCCATTTAGAATTTCTAGCAAGCCTGTTGTTCTCGTAAGCAATAATGTTCTACAAGGTCTCCTACCATTAATGATACTTCCTTTGTTGGCAACAAAGCAATTAAGCATCATTAAATCTCCAAAATTTGAATCAAAATCATCCATAAATAACAATTCATCATCACTCGAATATTCATCATTGGAATCATCAGTACTCACATTATCATCCACATTTAATTCACTGGCCATACCGTGAACAAAATATAACAACAATAATTATCATAAGTCATATCAATCATCATTCTTTCAAATAAAACGAGCATTCAAGGACTAAAGAAAAATTAACGTCAGTTCTCCAACCAACAACATCACTAAATTCGTAAATGAAAACAGTATAGCATCACCACGAAAAGAAAAAAGTACCTCAAGCTGTGAAAATAACACAGTACTTCAACCTTCAACATCACAAATTAAAACAACACAACACTAGAGAAATGAAAACAACAGTCACGTCAAAATAGTTCCAAGATAGGTCTTTTTCTTGCTTCTGGCATATTCACAAATGGCACCCTAAAATCGGGATCCTTAAAAGTCTTTATTGCTTTCATATAAACCTCATTTACTGATCTTAGGTTTCCTCCGTCGATGTTCATCCAATGTACCAATTTCATCACGTCAACGAGTATTTAAAACCTCATCAAATTCATCATCATTTTCCGAACGTACATGTACCCCCTGTTCAAAAAATTATCTTCTAATTGTCTTTCTTTCTCTGATGTGTTTGGAAGTTGAGTGGAGGCATTGCCTAATCCTCCAGTAGCTGTGGTCTTGCTAAATATCTTCCAAAGAGTGTGGTAGTGCTTATATCCTTTCCTTTTGAACATCTTGTAATCCGATTTGTTTATCTACCATTGAAAAAAGAAGCCACCTTATCATATTGTTCAACAAAAAATTGTAAAATTGATAAGATAAAAACTAATGACGAAAATATTCTTTAATAAATATATGTACTGTATAAAAGTGTTGCTAGACTTCCTCTGCAGCATTAACTTTGTTGGTATTTAGATCCCATGTAACACCTGTATGTCCCAAAAGTTCAGAGAATATGCAATGAATCTTACCTAAACAGTTCCACTTTCCCTTTGATCTATCTATGCCGTAATCCATTTTTGTCGAAGCTATCATGATTTCATTGCTCTTGCCCCATTTGTCTTTTGTGAATACAGAACATTGCAATGCATTTGATTTCACTTGCTCGTAAAGAATTTCGATAAAAGAGTGTTCATTCTCGTCCGACCATGACATTGATTCCTTATTCTTAACTTTGTGACCACTTATGTTGAAGCTATATTGGATATACATCAAATTATCAAGAAATATATAAGACCTTCCATAGGCGATTCACATACCATCAATTGCTCAAAATTCTTCAAGTTAAATGTTTTGGTTTCAACATCTAGTATATTGCTTAAAAGTATTAACCCGTTGATAGGAAGAATGCAGGGAAAACATAACATAATAGAAGCAAAACATATTACAATGACACTACTAAGGTGATGCATTTATCCCATGATAAAATTCGGTCACAAAACAGAACTTAAAACATAACACTGGTAGAATAAATGCTATTCAATAAAGATAAAAAATGATGAATTACTATTTACAGTAGAAAATTACACAGAAATATAATACCAATGCTAATGAAATGTGGAATTACTATTTACAGTAGAAAATTCATTAAGCACCAACTACCGAGGGACAAAGCATTCACAAATACCCTAATCTACTTTTCAATATCCAGAGAAAAGGATAGTGCAATGACTTGAAGTTAGTTTAAGAGCCCTTTCTTGCAATACCAACTTGAAGCATTATGCAAGGCAGTGTGTAGGCAACACACGCCGCTCACTCGACTAGAAATCAGCCAGTTCTTAATTAAATTTATTCAGCCCCTAATGCTAATTAATCAACACTCGACTTTTTCCCACTCCTGTAGAAAAAAACGAGGAGCAACAAAGCTTGAAGGAATCTTTCTTCAATCAGATAAAAGTGAGAATAGGTCCCATAAAAACTTGTTCACGAATTTTTTTTTTCTATTTAAAGCTCCACAAATGTATGGTTTGTGACAAGTAATAAAGTGAAAATTTTGAGTCCAAATGTTGTCCCACAAAGATTGAGTAGTTTAATTCTATCTAGTTGACCTTAACCGACACCAAATTATCAAATAGGAATTGTGATAATGTTAACTAACCCTAATTTTAACCTAATTTGCAACTGTGTATGATTTAAGTGTGGAAGAAACAAGAACTAAAACTCCGTATGTTGCATTGTTAACCTGATTACAAGAGCAAGACACGCCAATACAAGCCGCAATAATAGCAAATACAATAAACAACAACAATATTTCTGTGTAATTATTAGAGATTATGCTATCCAAACGTGTTCTTGTATGATCATTTAATGATGAATTATAGGAAGTTGGAACTTAACCCTACCCACCTAATAGAAATTAATTTACAGAAAAATGAAAAACACAAACTCTAAGTGCGAAAATAGAGATGCCATTTCAGTGAGAACTACACATATATTGCTATGAGATTCTGACACTGAATTCATGGTAAATATCTACAGAAACCATGGATATGGTACTCACATTTTATTATTCTTATAGATCTACCAAAATAATCTCATTATACTCTTGAATGCTTGAAAAGCCAAAGAAATAAATCCAAATCTGTTCAGAGAAATAACACCAAAGAAATACCTAGATTTAAAGATAGTATTGAGCAGAAAACAAAAGACGAGGATAGGAGATGAGGATGAGCCTTTGAGATCCTTCAATCTGCGAATGGGAAGGCAGAGCAAACCTTAGGAACATTTGCTTTATCTTACAAGATAGAGAGTAAAAAGAAAGAGATAAAGATTGTTTTTAATTTGGGTGTGTTTCCTGTGTTTTCATTCATTTTCATGATTTTGCTGCAAAACATTCAAAACATCTAAAAAAACGTTTTGAATTTCTAGTACAATTTTTTTTTTTTTTTTGAAAAACTCGTTTTTGAAAATAGGAAAGAGAACACGTTTTCACCGTTTTAAAAAATCGAAAACAAAAAATAGTCTGAAAACAGTAAAGAGAATAGCCCCTTAATTTCTTGATGTTCGCAGCTGTCAAATTCCAATTATATAAGTACCATAAAGATTAAGATTGAAAAAAATGACATATCAATACAAAAAGAGGTGAGTAATGTAAGAAATTAACAAATACTATTTATCTATCTATACATCTATCTATCAAGAAATTAACAAAGAAAAAGTAAATCAGACAAAAACCCCAAAAGAAGAAGACTAGAAAATGATGCATACCCAAAGTAAATCAAACCTATAGCAGGTCACAAATCATTCTCCAATGGCATAAAAAAATGAACTAAAAAGAAGAAGAAGAAGAAGAATAAGAATAAGAGAGGATCACTCCAGGCAGTGGCAAAAGGCGGAGGCTCAGCGACTCGACGACAGTAGGTTACAACCTTGAAATAGGATTTGGTTTGCTCTTTGTTTTTTATTTTTTGAAAGAAGCAGTTGATAGTGGGCCAATATTAAAAAAAAAAAGGCCGAAGACAAAAGGTCCGCAACTACAAAAAATAGTTCTCAAATCCAAAAACCATCTTTCCTAATCATCCATCTAGCTCAAGCTTCCCAATAATTGCAAGTCCACAACAATGGAGAGTTCCAACATGTAAATTCTTCTATTCTTCTTCTCCTTGGTCCAATACAGGCACACTTGAGTTTTCTATGTTAAGCCCAAAGTCTAGTGTGGACTGGTGCCTGCATTGGCCTCTATGTAGCTCCGTCTCTGCCCCATATTCCTTATTCATAGAAATTGACGGCTTGTAAAATCCACTGGTCAATTTCCATTGATGTCTTCTCCAAGAAAAATCCGACTTTAAATCTTCGTTTCTGATCTATTTTTCATTGGTTTCTCCTTCGTCTTCCACTCATATCCGTTCGACTTCATCTTCTCATTTTCATATCGACCCTAAATCTCAAATAGCCTAAACTCTAGGTTCGAAAATCAGAAATTGCTGAACAAAGTAGCCAGAATTGATAAAGAAATCTCGAAAAAGTACCCTCCTCAAAGAAGAGGAACAAAATTTCTTTATCCTATTATAAATCCAAGGTAGCAACATTTTGTGTGTTTTACTATGATAATAATACTTGAAAGGATTATTCTACATGAACATAATGGACACTATAATGGTGTCCATAATGCCTAAGTGACGCCTCCCTATTGGAGGGGGCGCCTGTGGGACCGGCATCCCCTCCAATAGAGGACGTCACTTGGGCATTATGGACACCATTATGGTGTTCATTATGTATCTCAAGCATTACTCTATTTGAAATATGTGGTATTTTTATGCATTGTGTCTACTTATACGTCTTAATACTGTCCAAATATAATTTGACTGCTTATATGTTACATGAACTGTATTCAATAATATGAGCATTATACTAGGGTCCCAAACAATTTTTTGCTCGTGTTAGATGATTACAAATTTGAATGATGTATTAATTAGTTTTGCCAATTATGTTTAGTTTTTGTAGTTTAATAGGTTTTACATTCGATGTTATGTGGAATTGTTATTGCTATAATGTGAATTTTTTGCTCAATTTGTAACTTCAATCAATAAAGGAGATTTAAAGATTGAAGGAATCTTAAGAATGGTGAAAAGAAAGGAAAAAGACAGTGACATTTGTGATTGTATTGAATTATTGCTTAAGGTCAGCTTTTATTGTCTAGTAACTTACTTTCTATGGTTTAATTAGACATTGATTCTAACATTGGTCCCTTCCTCTCTTTAATCACCCTTTTTCTTCCTGATATCAATTGATGTCGAACTCCTCATTGTTTTGTGAAACATTGATAATTTACCTATGCTGTGAACATTAGTTATACTGTCTTGATTTTTGTCCTTTAATATAGTAATAGCTTTTTTTTTTTTTAAATGGTAATAGTATCTGTAGAACCAAATTTAAAGTTATGTCTGATGACTTTAACTTTTCAATTCATTGCTTTTGTGGTGTTTTACAATCAAATATTCCTTTTTGTTAAAGAAATATTCTTGTGGTCACTTTTTTAAAATTTTTGTCACCTTTTTCCATCACTTTTTTGAATATTTGCAAATTGTGATTCGTGTATATGCATACATTCATAGTGACTGATATTTGCATGTGAAGGAGAGTTTTATGTCATCTTGTAGCATCATAAGTGGTCAACTTTTAGTTAGCTTGACTTCACCAATTTTTGTCAACTTTTGTGAAACATTAATAATGTGCCTATGATGTGAACATTAGTTATATTTTCTTAATTTTTGTCCTTAAAAATAGTAATAGCTTCTTTTAAAATGGTAATAGCATCTGTAGAACCAAATTTGAAGTTTTGCCTGATGACTTTAACTTTCCAATTCATTGCTCCCATGGCATGTTACAATCAAATATTCATTTTTGTTAGAGAAATATTGTCGTAGTCCCTTTTTTAAATTTAAATCACTTTTTTTAGTATTTGCAAAAGGTGATTCGTGTACATGCACACATTCATAGTGACTGATATTTACATGTGAAGGAGAGTTTTATGTCATCTTGTAGCATCATAAGTGGTCAGCTTTTAGTTAGCTTGACTTCACCAATGCTTGTCAACTTTTGTGAAACATTAATAATGTACCTGTGCTATGATCATTAGTTATACTATCTTGATTCTTTTCCTTTAATATAATAATAGCTTCTTTTAAAATGGTATTAGCATATGTAGAACCAAATTTGAAGTTTTGTCTGATGACTTTAACTTTCCAAATCATTGGTCCCGTGGATTCTTACAATCAAATATTCATGTTTGTTAGATAAATATTCTTATAGTCACTTTTTTAAATTTATATCACTTTTTTGAGTATTTGCAAAAAGTGATTTGTGTACATGCATACATTCATAGTGACTGATATTTGCATGTGAAGGTAAGTTTTATGTCATCTTGTAGCATCATAAGTGGTCAACTTTTAGTCAGGTTGGCTTCACCAATGTTTGTCACGTTTTTTAGATATTGCCACTTTTTTTTTCTTTTTTTTTTTCCAGTGTCACTTTCCAAAGGCATTTTATCTATGAGTATATACATGCATACATTGTGTTTTATTTTGCCAATTTTAATGATTATGACTTAGCTTGCATACTATTTTGTTGTCCCATTACCTATCTAGAGGTTCATTTTTTTAAGTTAACCTCTAGATAGAGAGAATCTTAGGCAAATATGAGTAGATACTCATGCTTAGGCCTTATTCTAGTAGTAAAAATATCATGGGTTCAACCTCTTGCGTCACTTTTTTTGGTTTTATGTCACTTGCTTTTTAAAGTTTTTATCACTTTTTAAACTTTATGTAATTTTTTTTATTTATGTCACTTTTTTTTTTAACTTTATGCCTTTTTTTTATATTTATTGTCACTTTTTTGAGTGTATATACACTTTTAATTGTTGTATATTACAAACATGTTTTCAGTCATTCTAACATATTACAAATGTGTATGTTACAGCTTTCCTAATGCATATATATGTTGTTGAATTTTATTTTAAGTGTATCTTTTTTTCTTTTTGTAGAATTGGGTTTTATTAGTCCCTCAAGCGTGTTAGTTAAAAAAAAAAAGTCACATTATTCTCTCCACATGAGGTGATAATTGAGCTAAATGAAAATTTTAGTCCATACCAGGGACTTTATTTAAGAACACATGCTTTGATGCCTTCATTGATTCGAAGGAACTAGTATTTCAACTACAATTGATACACTAGTTGCTGGTTAGACAAGTTAAGCTACTCAATTCAAATGAAATATGGTTTAACGTCCATCACAAACTTGTGATATTTTTTGTTGAAGTGTTCTGTTTGATATCAGGACTTAAATGTACTAGAAATAGGGATGAATCGTTAAAAAGAATGGTACTTCAAAGATCACCAAAGCATCTCAATAAAATTGGTTCAAGAAGTGTTTGTAAATTTACCTGCTGGCACTGTAGATAAATGTCATTGATAAAGGAATAGTTTATTTGATTACATCCTTTCTTTTTGATACATCATATTATAAGCGAATTGATGATTCATTTTTTTGTCTTGTGGACTCTTAGGTGTTAAATTATTTTCCATGAAGGTATAGAAACTTTTAGTATGACTCTATCATCCCTAAAGTTTGCATTTGATCAAAGAATGAAGGCTATTTCAATGGAAAAGAAGTTTTTGGAGTATAGGTTGAATGGATTTCTACTTACTTTTCAAGGATAGGTTTATGAAACTAGGTTTTCATAGGAACTAGTATTTCAACTACAATTGATACACTAGTTGCTGCTTAGACAAGTTAAACTACTCAATTCAAATGAAATATGGTTTAACGTCCATCACAAACTTAAGATATTTTTAGTTGAAGAGTTCTGTTTGATATCAGGACTTAAATGTACTAGAAATAGAGAGGAATCGTTAAAAAGAATGGTACTTCAAAGATCACCAAAGCATCTCAATAAAAGTGGTTCAAGAAGTGTTTGTAAATTAGCCTGCTGACACTGTAGATAAATATCATTGATAAAGGCATAGTTTATTTGATTACATCCTTTCTTTTTGGTACATCATATTATAAGCGAATTGATGTTTCATTTTTTTGTCTTGTGGACTCTGAGGTGTTAAATTATTTTCCATGAAGGTATAGAAACTTTTAGTATGACTCTATCATCCCTAAAGTTTGCATTTGATCAAAGAATGAAGGTTATTTTAATGGAAAAGAAGTTTTTTGAGTATAGGTTGAATGGATTCCTACTTACTTTTCAAGTATAGGTTTATGAAACTATACCTACTATTGCGCAGAAGAATTACTACATTAAGTATAAACCTCAATGTCCTTGAATGTTGAGGTGGAGTTGTAAATAGCATGTGACATTTGTGGGTTTAAGAAAGACCATTTTTTATTTGATTAAAGTAAGTTTTATTTACTTTATTACTTATTTTATGTCTTATTTTTTATTACTATTTACATGACTAAGTATTTTCAGTTGGACGTAAATCGAATTGTGCCTATTCAGACAGAAAAGGAAGAAGAGTATGCAATTGGTTTATTAATTGAAGTTTTGGGAGTTGAGTAGCATTATGATGATTTTGAGCATCCCGTTGTTCAACAAAAGAAGTTACTAGATGGAGGAAAAGGAGAATTTGTTGACGGAGATGGAAGGTCTGTAGTAAAGAAAAATAAAGGGAAGAATGCGAGATTTGTGTGTAATTTTTATTTTTACTATTTCTCTATCATTTCAATTTATTACTTCTAATTATTCCATATATTTTTTAGCAAGTCCAGCAATCAAACGAAGAAATTTTGAGATGTTGTCCGAGGTTGAACTGAAAGTTGATCAATCAAATGATTCAGATCTTGAAGTTAAAATTCAGTAAAACCCAACTGAGGACCATCTAAAAGACGTTGTAGATAAAACTAATGAAGAAGTAATGGAGCATCAACAAAATTTAGA